AGAATAGTCTTTAATAAAAACATAATGGCTTCCCTCATCATAATCAAGACGAAGAAGGTTAACATGACATATAGGTTCGGTTATTTTTGTAACTCTATCTACTCGTATTTTTTGATTATCTACTATATAAACATTTATTGAAATTTTCTGTTTATTTATTTGTTCAAAATAATCAATATCCTCATTTGAAGCTGGAAAATTAACACCTTCCCATTTAATTATACTATCATTTTCAAAAGGTTTATATTTACATATTCTACATGGATGGTCTTTTTTATATACTTCAAAAAATTTACATAAAACACAATATTTGAAACAAAATTCATCATTGTTTTGAATATTAATACAAGCCTTCTTTAAAGAAATCCATCTAGGTAATTCAATAAATTTACCCGCTCTTGTCGGGTCATATTTATCATAATGAAATGTTATTTTGTTTATTTTATGAAGCTTCAAATCAGACCTATAAAAATTCTTGTTTTCTACGCTTATTTCTATATCTGATGCCATATTATTTATTGCATTGTTTAAGTCTTCTTCGTTTAATATATTATATCGTCGTGAACGAATACTAGCAACAAAATCCTTATCTTCATCTTCTAAATGCTTAAACTGAACGGATACATCAACTAATAGTTTCATACTTTTGTTTTTATTTAAATATTCTCTTAACCTAGGTTTTTGATAATATATGTGAGTTAATCCTGCATAGCCTAATTTTTGAATGTTTGTTATGGCATATGTGTTAGCATAAGCTTTTAAAGCTGTAAATACGTTAGTTCTTGTGCCGAATGTTGATATAGAATATCGTTTTAAAGCTTTTCTTACGGCTATTCCCTTAGATGCTTTATCAAGTATATTAAAACGTTTGTAACCTTGTGTTTTTTCTACTTGTTCTAGTTTATTTATAAGTGTTCCTGAAAAAGGTTTTGATGGATTATATGGGTATTCTTTATCATCTATAATAACTTTTTTTAATTGTTTACCGTCTTTATTTTTTTTAATTTTACCTACATCACTATTTAAAACATATTTCATTACAGATTTTTGTCTATTAATATCCATATTATTATAATATAGATTTTCTTTTAAGTAGTTTTTTATACCCGTGGTGGGGCTGGGGCTCTCCATACCCTTTAAGGTGGCTACCCTTTAAGCCTAGGGGGTGCCGGCTGGGCTGGCGGTTAACATTCATATTATAATATAATATGATAGTTAAAGTTTTTATGTTAAAAAGTCATCTGTTCTATTGATATAATCGTTGTCCTGTATTATTGATTTTTGTTTGTTTAATTTTTTCATGTATTGTTCTTTAGGTATATAAGGATATTTAGCATCTATAAAACGTTCAAATGTGTAATCATCGTCAAAATCATTTTCTCCTATTCGCGTATTAATAAATTTAAAAGCTTCATTTGAATACAATTTAAATTTTAGTTTACTAAATTTTTCATTATTGTCTATGTATGATAAAATCTCTTTAATTGCACTTTCAACTTTATCTATTTGACTTTTTATATAATTAATAAATTTACTCCTTGTATCATTATTTTTATCTACATTTTCATAATAATCATTTATAAATTTATTTCGTTGTTTGCTGTAAAATTCTTTTACTTTTTCATCAACATTAAATGAATTATAATATAATAATTTAACCTCATTATAGAAATCAATATTATAAAATTTACATTCTGGTATTACACTTTTGGTATAACGTAATGTCTCATCAAATGTAGGAAATGGATTTAGTTTAATATAATAATATATTTGATTATCTATTTTATGTTCTGTGTAATTGTTTAAACTATATTGTTGTTTATCTTCAACTGCTTTAACCACATTTTCAAAATCTTCCATACTGTAATCATAAACATTTTCTTTAAACTCTTTTAAAGTTTTACATACTTCACATTCTTTATAATTATATTTACAAATATCTTTAACAATATTACTAGGTATATTTAATTTATATAAGCTCAAGTTCTGTTTATTAAACTTACAGTTTTTACATATACTAACTTTATGATTAATAATTGTTTTCATTTCAATAACATTTAAGAATTTATTAATAATTTCTTCTTGTTCTAATGTTGACAAAAACATTATATTATTATAATGGTAAAATGTCTTTAAGTATATTTTCTGTTCTGGGCTGGGGCTCTCCATAGGTGGCTTCTCCTTAAGTAGGGGCGCGGGGCTGTTGGTTGTCAGTTGTTGGTTGTGGCTACTGGCTTTCGGCAGTTGTTGAGTTCATCTACTGGCAGTTGTCAGTTGTGGCTACTGGCTGTTGGCAGTTGTTGGGGTCGTCTACTGGCAGTTGTCAGTTGTGGCTACTGGCTGTTGGCAGTTGTTGGGGTCGTCTACTGGCAGTTGTTGGGGTCGTCTACTGGCAGTTGTTGGGGTCGTCTACTGGCAGTTGTTGGGGTCGTCTACTGGCAGTTGTTGGGGTCGTCTACTGGCAGTTGTTGGGGTAGTCTACTGGCAGTTTTTAGAGCTGTCTACGGTAGTTTTTCAGTTTTTGGGTTCATACTCTGAGTTTTTCGGGTTCATCTACTGTGAGTCTTATTAATAATGTTTCTTTAAAAAAGACATTTAAAGAAATAGCCCCATAATATTATATGGATAATTCTGACATTAAACCATCTAATCAAATTTGTTCTAAATGCAAAAAGGAAAAAGGAGAAGAACATTTTAAACCAGAGCGAAAGTTATGTAATGAATGTTTAGAAGAGAAAGCCATATATAGAGAGAAGAACAGGGAACAATTGAGACAGAAAGCAAAAGAATATTACCATAATAACCGTGATAAAGAAATAGCAAGGACAATAAAATATAAACAAGAGAATCGTGAACAAATTGTTCTTCAGAGTAAACAATACAGAGAATGCAACAAGGAAGCAATCAATGAAAGGGACAAAAAATACTATCAAAATAATAAAGACGATATTTTGAGCAAGCAGAAGGAAAAGGTTTATTGTATTCATTGTAATTGTCAGTTTAATAGATGTGGTTTTTCAAGACATATGCAAACTAAAAAGCATCAAAAATATCTTAAAGAAACAGAACCTAAGGGTCGAGCAAACTTATATACAATTATGCATTCATAATAATATTAATATAAAATATTATTATAAATGTAGACAAAAGCCACCGCAGAAACCTAGACATAATATTATATAGAATATTATACATAAACCATGACAGAAGCTGAATACAAATGAGAGGCGAAAAAACCTGAATAAGGTAACGATATTTTTTGATAATTTTTTGATAAATTTTGAAAAAAATTAGAATGAAACAGAGGAGTAAATACAAAAACGCAGTAGGAGATTAAATTTAAAGGAATGAAACAGATGCCGAAACAATATATTTGAAAAAACTACTACAAGGACAAAAACCCTAGAAAATTATAACGTTAGAGATGCCTAAAACTGATTTTAAATTTTGTTAAAATGAATGAGATGACTGGGGCTGGGATTTTTTGAGAAATTGTTAAAAATTTGTGAAAATTTGTGTTTAAATGTTAGAGGAGCGTTAATGTGAAAATGCATAAGGTAATTCTGTATAAAATATGTTAAAAATTTTGCCAGAATTAATACAAAAAATTGATTAAGATGACAACAAAACGAAATATTATTAAAGTGAGCTATGTTGATAAAACGACATAGGGGCCTATGTAGGGTCGGGGGGCAGAACCCTACAACCAACCTTTTCCTTATTTTTTACCCCCCCCGCCCGCCACGTCGTCGTGGTCGCAGTCGTGTCGTCGCCGCGTGTCGGCGCAGTCGTTGTCGCCCGCCCTTCGTTGCCCCGGTGTCGTCAGCGCCCCCCCTGCCCTCACCCGCTCTCGCGGCTGCCCACCGGCCCGCTCGCCCGCCGTCGTCGCCGTGTCATCGCCGCGTCGTCGTCCCGGCCGCGCGTCCGCCAGTCGTTCGAGCCGAAGCCGACCGTCGAGCCCGCTCGCCGTCGCCCGTCGTCCTCGTCGCGCGCCCCGCAGTCGCCACTCGTCGTCCGTGCGTCGTCGCCACCACGCCGTCGTCGGTCGTTGTCGTCGTCGTCGTCGCCACCGTCATCGTTGCCTTCGCCGTCGTCATCGTCGCCGCCGTCCTCGTCGTCAACACTCTCGGTCACGGGTCGCGCTGCCGTTGTGGTCGTTCGCGTCTCCGTCCTCGGGCGCTGTCGGTCCCGCTATCGGTCGCCGGTTGTCATCGTCTGGTCGTCACCGTCGTCCGCCGCCCGTCGCCGCCGTTGTCGTCGTTGATCCTCGCCTCTATCCTCACCCGTCGTCGTGCTCAGCCACCCTGCCGCCGGCATCGCCGACCTGTCGTCGGGTGGTTGTGCTCTCGCCGCCGCGTCGTCGTCGTCGGGTCTTGTGCTCGCCGCCGCCGGTTGGCAGTGTTTCGAGGTTGGCGCGGGACCCCGGCAAAACATGAGGGCCACCCCGGGGATGTGGATGTTACACGTCGTCGTCGTCGTCGTCGTCGGGTCGTGGTTGTGCTCGCCGCCGCCGGTTGAAACATGAGGGCCACACCGCACTTCCGATTCTAATTCGTCCGTTTTGTCCTTGTGCCCGTGGAGGTTCAGCACTTCCTTGGCCCTGTTCTTGGTCAAGTCGCCTACCCAACAGTTTTCCTGACGCTCCTGTCCACCGGCATCGAGCTGAGCATCGTTGCAGGCTTGGAGCTGAGCATCAACAGGGTTGCAAATGAGCATCAGGCAAAGCTGGTTTGGAGGGGCCGGGCAACCCTCCAGGGTTTGATGAGCAAACTGTTGTTGGAGCTGTGGAGCTGCAGTTTGGGCACTTGGAACGAGCAGTGAATCAGAAGCTTTCTATGAGTAGCGCCGCTGCCCGCACACTCAGAACTGAGTTCTAAACGAATGCACAGTCTGTACAATGCGAACCGCTGCTGAGGCTCAGGCCCAGGAAACCTGGCGAAGCAGGGCAGAGTGTGGAGGTGTTCAAAACAGCACCAGTCCAGTTCAAGTTGGCCAAGGTCTCAGCTACGGCTGCTGATGGCGCTCGGCGCGGCCTGGCACAGCTACAGATCCAGTCGGCGTGCAGCCAGCGCTCCCGCAAGTCAATCTTTTTTCGCACAGCTAGGGAGACGATTGGGACTGCTTCAAAATGTCGTCCGCGGCCTCTGCGTGCAGCTCGGAGGCGAACCGGTACTTCTGGTCCGGCATGTGCCAGATGACCGGGTGGACCTTGTTGTCGCGGATCCACAGTGCGACATCTCTTGGCTGCACGGCGCTGCCAGCGCTCAACTCGTCAACGCCCTCGCCAGGACTTGAGTTGCGGTCGGTCATCAGGGCTTCCAAAATCTTCCGACCAGCAGCGGTGTCTTTGATCGTGCAGCTGTCAAGGAAGCGCTGTACCTCAATGGCGGCCTTCGCCTTCATCTCCTCCTTTTTGGCCGCCAGCGTCGCCGGCCCCTTGTAGTCTCCACAGGTTAAGTCCAAATCCACAGCACGGTAGTCGCCTGAAGGACACTCCAACCAGTGCAGCGCAGGGCCCCTCACGACAAAACAAAGCAAACAATGCGGCCCAGACGCAGGCTTGTGCGAATTGCTCCCAATCCTCCCGGTGCCCGCGGAGGGCCAGAAACTCCTTGGCTTCGTCATCAGTAAGGTCCTCCACCCAATAGTTCTTCTGACGTTGGTCGCCGCCGGCATCAAAGCTCAGGGCCATGGCGGCCGAGAAAGTATTCAGAACTGTGGACATGCGCAACGCAAGCATTCGGGACGTATAGAAGCGCTTAGTGCTTGACTGCTCAAAAGCATTTAGGAAGCGCCAAAGATTTTGGGAACCGCACTTGACTGCTCCAAAGCATTCAGAACCGAAAAAGCATTTGGGGAACAACTTGCGTCCAACGTGAAGCAAACTTCCGCTTTGGGGCCCTGGCTGCAGCTGCTTCGGCGGGGCCTGGCACAGCTACAGATCTTGTATCTTACAGAAACTCTCTCAAGACTGCGCTCAACGTCACGCCCTTCTTTCCAGACAGTCGTGGCGTCGACTGGGAGGTGCGCTTCAAAATCTCGGTTGCTGCATTCGCGTGCAGCTCCGATGCGAATTGGTACTCCCGGTCCTTTGTGTGCCAGATCACGGGGTGACGACCTTTCTCGCGCATCCACATCGCAACATCCCGGGCCAACACACCACTACCGCCTGCGAACTCGCCAACAGAAGGACCGCCCGCACTCTTTTGGGACAGCAGTGCATTCAAGATGTTTTTGCCAGCCGTCGTGATGCCATCTACCGTCTGGAACTTGCAATCCCTCAAAAAAATCTCCACATCGTTGTAGGCATTCTTCTTCATGTCGGCCTTCTTGGCCTTGAGGGCCTGCGCCCCAACCTTGGCGTAGCGCTCGCAGGTGCTTGCCAGATCCATCGCGCGGTAGCCGCCTAAAGGATTCAAGGGCTGCCCACTCAGCGCATGGTGTGTCTCACGACAAAACAAAGCAAACAATGCAGCGCAGGGGCAAGCATCAAGGAATTCGTCCTTTCTATCCTCCTGCCCGTGGAGCCCCAGCAATTTCTGGGCCTCGTCCTTGGTCAAGTCGCCTACCCAAAAGTTTTCCTGTCGCTCCTCTCCACCGGCATCGAAGGTGAGGGCCATCGCGACCGAGGAGGCACACACGATCACCTCGGAAGAAACCCTGCGAAGAGCTTGCACAAGACCCTACAGCGCAGCACAGCAAAACAGGGCGGCTGAGTCTTCGGGTCCCGGCGTGGGCCAGCGAACTGTCTGACGACAGAGTCTTGGCGAAGGTGGAAACCGTATCCATGCCTGCACCCAAGCGAATCAAACACAAAGCAACCAAAGTCGCCGACGTCGCGCCTTCCTT